AGCTTGTTCTAAGTAGGTGCTTTAGACCACTGAGCCATCTCACCAGCCCCCAAGGAAAATCAAATTTACTTGAACCAGTTAAAGTACTTTCCTGCAGCTTTATTTTCTGAACACTTTGGAAAATTTCAAACATATCAAAAAAATATAAAGAATTTGACAGTAATCATCCATTTGCTTAACAGAAAAAAAATCTGTGAATTACATCTTTGCTATACTTATTTCATTATCTATCAGTTTAATTAAGACTGAAGTAAATTCTAAATCCTTTCCTCTTCTAACCAAACTTGCCCAATTCTAACACAAGCTTCCAGCATGTCACTATCCTTATTAAGGCTAAATGTTAATTCTGTTAGACCATACAGGTTAGGGTTCTCACAGATAGGAGACTCAGGGATTTACATCAGGCCATTTGGTTCATGAAGAACTCCCCAGAGGGCCAAGACACCACAGTGCTGTCTCAGTACTTAAGCTCCATAATGGCAATGATACCAAAGCAACCCTAAAAGATCTGCTGTTCCTGTATGTGGCTACCATTTCTTTTTGTTCACTATTATCTTCACACCTTGAAGGGGAAAGACAACTGTTGGAAAAAACACAGGTCAGGTGAAGAACATCAGCTAAAAGAAAAAAACAGTAGCTTTGGCTGTACAGTAAATCCCCAACTTACAAACATTTGAGTTGCAAACGTTCACAGGTGCAGTGCAAGCTTTCCCAGCTATACCGTACAAGACTCACATTGTTAAGAGTTAGGAACAAATGCGAGCTGCTCACTTTCTCCCAGAACAGAGCTGGTTCATAACTTGGGGACTTACTGTATAGACTTTTTTAAAGGGGGAAGAGGTGGGAGTGGATAACAGAGTTAGCTCTTCAGTCTTTGCTGCACTGAGTATCCAAACTTGTCTTCATTACTATCTTTCAAATCTTATGTGCCCTACAAATCTCCTCCAAACAGATTAATATTCTTTCTGGACTAATTATTTAATTGCTCCATCACTTAGTTTTATTTCATATATACTTGCCTTGTCTCCTCACTCAAATAAATTGCCAGAGGACATTGTTTTGTTATTAGCTCAGTGTTTTTTTTTTTTTTTTTTGTGGAACCGGGGATTGAACTCAGGCCCTTGCGCTTGCCAGGCAAGTGCTTATTCTACAGAGCCATCTCCCCGGCCTGTTTTGTTATTTTGAGATGCTAGGTACACAGTATTTACAAAATATGTTTTCTGTTTATTTGGCATGTATTATATTGAAGTCCAAAGGCTCCCTGAGAGTTATTTGGGATTCCATAAGACGGCACTAGAAGTTTATCACAATACCTTGCACACAGAAATTTGTTTTGTACTAAATTTAATATTGTCATATTGTTATGTCCTGAAATCCATCTTCCACCCAAATTTTTAGTTTAATTCAATAGTGACAACTTCGTTCTAAAACTCAAAGAAATGTTTGGTAAAGAAAATATCTTTCAACTACAAAAGCATCTGTGTACTTAGATTGGTCTGGTTTAGGACCTATCATGTGGGAGGCCATTAACCGGTATCCATTCTATTCCCCTGCTGAGTTAAGTTTATGGTCCTTCTCACCCCGCCTATTTCCCATAAGTCTCCTGCTATGCCCCAGAGGTGGGACTTCCTGTTATAGTCCAGTCGCCTAGTTACTCGCGCCTTTTACCCGCCGACGTCATTTCCCTATTCCTCCACTGTATATGCCCAGCACCTCCCCTAAATAAACAGAATCCTGTTTTGTCTCCTTTCTTCACATCTCCTGTCCTTTGTCCCCTCTTCAATTCCCCGCTCCTGCCCCAGGTGACCTTCATTGACTGACCCGCTGGTTCGGGACACTATCACATGAACGACTATCTCCATCATTTCCTCTGCTCTAAAATCCATCCTGATGCTATAGCAATAGTTGTTCGTTGAAGTTCTGAAATAATTTGCTATGAACCACTTTGGACATTTTGAGGTGATATCTTATTCTGAGTTCAACTCTGGAGGTACAGCCTTGAACAAGGACTTGTGTATGATATTTTATTGGGAAAGAGACAATTACAGGAGACAGAAATGTGGGACAAGAAGAGTCAAACCGGAAAGGGAAAAGGGCTAGGAGGGCATATCATTGAGCTGGTTACCATGCTAGGCAAACAACCAAGGCTCAGTCTTGTGAGAAATGCATGGAGTACCTGCCAGGATTTTCCCAGGGAAGGCAGAAAGAAGCCAAGAATCCAGGTGGTTCACGGACACACGTGGTGGAGTATATTAACTCCCTGTGCTCAGCCAAACACTCAACTCTGGGAAGCTGACAGCAATCAGTCAGTCTAAGAGCTCACAGAAGACTGAGAGAGTGTGAGGCACAGTGCAGGGGTGTCTCAGTTACTCTTTACTCATTGCTGGGTCAAATACCAGACACCAGAGTGGCACATGACAGCGAGCAGCAGCTTATGGCAGCAGAAAACAGTGAAGAGCAAGGGAAGGACAGCAGCTTCTGGCCAGCTGCTGGCCAGCCTTGCTCCCCTGCTTATATTACAAACAAGCTACCTTGGGGCTGGAGGTGTAGAATCCCACAATGTTCATGACTCCTCTTGCACAGGATGAGGATGTTTATAAACTAAGACTCCTGGCTCTCTGCTGAGTCACTTAAACTCTAAACTTCTCAAGTTCGCACAATGTATCAACCAGTACAAAAAGCCACTGGTTATAGGAAATAACCTTAATAATCTTATTTTGTCTAATTTTCCGATATTTTAACCTTTTTTTTTTTTAACTATGTGAGATACCACCACACACTTATCACATCTTTAATTTTTTTTAACATTTATTTAGAGTGTGTGTGTGTGTGTGTGTGTGTGTGTGTGTGTGGCCAGCTCAGCCCACCAGGGGGCGGGGCTGGTTGGCATGTGGTACTGGGGGATCAAACCGTGGTCCCTGTGCTTTGCCAAGCTTGTTCCAAGTAGGTGCTTTAGACCACTGAGCCATCTCTCCAGCCCCCATTTTATCCTTTATAGGCCACTTTTTCTAACATTTTTCTTTCTTATGTCTTTCTAAGCATAGATTGTTTTTGTTTTCTCCCCAATATTAACCAACTGGATAAATTAATGCTAGTTTTTTTTTTTAATGGTAGTGTTTCTAATTTTTATTAATTTCCACTTGTAATCTTAATTCTAAATTCTTTTTTATACTTGAATTTATATTCCTTTTCCAAGTTGATTGCCTAATTCTTCCAGTATTTCTTAATTATTAATTGCTCCAGATATCAGTTTTAAAAAATCTCATCAATTTTAATATAGAGTAATCTTGTCCTCTAAATAATTTTTCTGCAACCAATAATGACCAAGAATTATGCTTTTATATTTTTTAGTTAGTTGGTTAAAATACTGCTTGCTAATTTCTTGCGGTGGGTTAAATGTCTTTTCCCTTTTCATTTTTTTTTTT